GGGTTGGAAAAGGATTTCCAGACATGAGACAGAATGAGAGGGAAATAAAGTTTATTAGAGTGTGAGATGCTGTTAGAACATTAGACCAGCTCAAGGCAAAACTGACATTGAACAGGGGTCCTCAGTTCACTTTTATAGCAGGGTACAAGGAGTGGGATAGGGGTCTTGCAGGTCATTCGCTGATTGGATGAGGCACGTGTACTGTGTGGGGGAAGAGTACGGCAAATACCTTCTCCCTGTTGTTCCATTAATAGTTACAACATGGGGGTTCTACTTCCAGGTTTTTAAGGAGTCACCACACTGTTCTCCATAGTGACTGTACTAGTTTGCATTCCCACCAACAGTGTAAGAGGGTTCCCTTTTCTCCACACCCTCTCCAGCATTTATTGCTTGTAGACTTTTGGATAGCAGCCATCCTGACTGGCATGTAATGGTACCTCATTGTGGTTTTGATTTGCATTTCTCTGATAATGAGTGATGTTGAGCATCTTTTCATGTNCACGGTGCATGGAAGTTGTCTTGCTGGGAGTGGATGCCCTTGTGGAATGATCCGTTCCATGTCCCCCTTATCCTCACACGGAAGTCTTCATGTGGCAGGCGCCCTAATGACTTTTAAGTGCCTGACCTGTGCCCACACACTATTGCTTGGCCTAATCCTCAGTTGGAAAGGAGACAAAGCAGAGACCCTCACCCGTTCGGGCGGCAGCTACTGGGGCTCAGTGAGCAGTGGGGCCTTTGGAACACACCAGAGGGAGACCCTGGCCAGAGTTCCTCAGCTTCCACAACAGTTGCCTGTTCGCATAGGGTCCCTATGAAAAAGGAGAAGTGAGGAGGTGGGGGAAGAGACCCCAAGTTCCCCGTATGGGCCACCAAAGATGTCGTGGTCTGGGCGCGGGTTGGAAAAAAATTTCCAGACATAAGACAGAATGAGAGGGAAATAAAATTTATTAGAGTGGGAGACACAGTGAGAACAGTGAGCCAGCTCAAGGGAGAACCGATGTTGAATAGGGGTCCATTTATACCCAGGGTACCAGGCGTGGGATAGGGGTCTTGCGGGTCGTTTGCTGGTTGGATGAGGCGTGTATACTGGGTGGGGAAGAGTAGGGCAAATACCTTCTCCCTATGGGGTAGGAGGGGAGACAGGTTATACTGGTCCATTAATAGTTACAACATGGTGGAGGGAAGGACGATAAGGGTCTGGTTTTTCTGTTCCTGCATTCCAAGACCACCCTTGTTTATTTGCTCTTTTGTCCTTGGGTCACCACACTTATTTCACCTGATTTTTGTTGTTTTTGATGTAAGGGTGAATTCCTTCTCTGTTACTCAATCGTGTATACCCAATTTTAAATATTGAGAAATACAGGCAATAATTAAGATAGACATAAAATTGGTCATCATCTTATATTTTAGCAATACTTAGTAGTAACAGATTGTAGAAGTTTTATCCATAAATCTTGTATGCTGTGTAGTAAAAATGCTTATGGGGGTCAGATATACTTAGGACTAAATATGCCAGTTATTTTTTATGGGTTACTAAAACTCTAATCTTAGCTTTCTTATCTGTAGGATAGAGGTAATAATACTTATCTCATGGGTTGGTGCAAGGACTAAATAAAACTGTATTTTTAAAAGCTGTAGTTTTTATACAGTGCTGAGTATATAATGAGAATGGGTAGTTAATGTTGATAGTCAGGAATCAGGGAGATGATAAGGCAGAAAGAAGCAGACTTGAGTGTGAAGATAGCAGTTTGTAAGTCTTGGGGAAAAGCCACAAATGCTGTGGTGTATCCTTGCTATGGCAGTTTTGGATTAGATCCTCAGTGCTTAGATTTGGTGGCTGTTCTGAAAGCGTCATAGTTGGATTGCATGGGAAGTGTAGATGAGGTGGAGGAACACAGGAACTCATATTGAAGATGTGGATGAATAGGTATTAGTGTGACATGATAGTAACCATCATAGAAAAGGGAAAAGAGAGCATTAAGGCTGGGGGGAGTGATTTAGGGGTTCACCCGTGCAGCTCTAGGCAGATAAATAATAAACCCATTAGCACAGTCTAAGCTCCAGTGGACCAGTTATTTGGCTGTGGAATTGCTTGTTCTCTGGATAGGAGGGGAACGTGGAATGGTTGATTTTTAGCATGAAAGGGCTTAGCTGAAGGCAAATCGAGGCTCTTTTTTAAACTCTGAGAGCTCTATGAATAATACGATCTAGTCATTTATTCTCCCTTGATGGATTTCTTTATATCATCAAATTACATCGTTTGCTGTTGCTCTGGTTAAAGCTTTTAACTCCGTATCTTGGTTGGGCCAGACATGGTGTGGAAGGTGACTCAAGGTCAGTAATTTGGTGTCTGGCTCCTGGGTCTTCACTCTGTTGTCTTTCTTTAGTAGATAAAAGGGGCCCGTGAGCACTGCAGTCTTCTGAGTGACTTTCATTTATAACTTTAAAAGGAGTTGTCTGAAGACAAAAAATTTCCCAAGGTGAGAGTTTTAATATTCAGAGATACAGCCTGCTTTTAGGAGCCGAATTCTTTTGTTGCTGACAAAAATCAGAAAAGCTCTGGAGTTTGGGGGAAAGATCCTTGTTTTTTAAATTGCTTCTGAAATCACTGTGTTATTATTAAGAAGATGTTCACTTTGTGGATAATGGGGACAAAATTCCCATCCCCTGCCCACCCTGTGCTGGGGGCTCAGTGCTTCCTGATGCTGTAGTCAGGGGCTCTGGGTATTGTCTTTTTGAATGGAGGTCAGACTTTCCAAAATCTCTCTTTCAATTCAACGCAGTCATCCTGTGGTGTATTTTTATTTTATTAAAAAGTGTTTATTTATTTGGCTGCACCATGTCTTAGCTGTGGCACTTGAGTTCTTCAGTCTTTTTTTTTTTCTTTTATATTTATTTATTTGGCTGCACTGGGTCTTAGTTGCTGGATGCAGGATCTTTGTTGCAACACGCAAACTCTTAGTTGTGGCGTGTGAGATCTAGTTCCCTGACCAGGGATCGAACCTGGACCCCCTGCCTTAAGGGGACGGCACAGAGTCTTAGCCATGGACCACCAGGGAAGTCCCCCCGCCTTTTTTTTTAACTTTGTAAAATTCTTTATTTTAGCATTCTTCGAGGTTTCACACTTTTCTGTGGGAATGAGTCATTTAATTCTGTACAAGTTTGCAAGAACATATTGTTGGTCTAAAGTAAGATACTGCTTCCCTTAGCTCATCAGTTGGGAAGGAATTCCACCCAGATGAGCCCTCCTTCCTGGGATCTCTAGGGTTATTGCTCATCTTTTGCTGACTCTGCTCCCCTCCTACTGGAGTTGCTCCTTCCTGGGCTTCTCTCCTTTCACCTTCGCCTGCTCAGTCCTATTTGTCATCATGCCAGGGCATGGCTTTCACCTCCCTGAGTGTTAGCTCACCTATACTCTCTTCCTTGTGGATTCCTGGGAATTTCAATCTTTATTGTAGCATGCGAACTCTTAGTTGTGGCATGTGGGGTCTAGTTCCCTGACCAGGGATTGAACCCAGGCCCCCTGCATTGGGAGCTCAGAGTCTTAGCTGGACCACCAGGAAGTCCCTTGTGGTATATTTTAAAAGTTGCCTCTGTAATTTTTTTTTTTTTTTTCTTTTATATTTATTTATTTGGCTGCACTGGGTCTTAGTTGCCGGATGCAGGATCTTTGTTGCAACATGCAAACTCTTAGTTGTGGCGTGTGAGATCTAGTTCCCTGACCAGGGATCGAACCTGGACCCCCTGCCTTAGGGGGACAGCACAGAGTCTTAGCCATGGACCACCAGGGAAGTCCCCCCCCCTTTTTTTAACTTTGTAAAATTCTTTATTTTAGCGTTCCTTGAGGTTTCGCACTTTTCTGTGGGAATGAGTCATTTAATTCTGTACAAGTTTGCAAGAACATATTGTTGGTCTAAAGTAAGATACTGCTTCCCTTAGCTCATCAGTTGGGAAGGAATTCCACCCAGATGAGCCCTCCTTCCTGGGATCTCTAGGGTTATTGCTCATCTTCTGCTGACTCTGCTCCCCTCCTACTGGAGTTGCTCCTTCCTGGGCTTCTCTCCTTCCACCTTTGCCTGCTCAGTCCTATTTGTCATCATGCCAGGACGTGGCTTTCACCTCCCTGAGTGTTAGCTCACCTATACTCTCTCCCTTGTGGATTCCTGGGAATTTCAATCTTTATTGTAGCATGCGAACTCTTAGTTGTGGCATGTGGGGTCTAGTTCCCTGACCAGGGATTGAACCCAGGCCCCCCTGCATTGGGAGCTCAGAGTCTTAGCTGGACCACCAGGAAGTCCCTTGTGGTATATTTTAAAAGTTGCCTCTGTAACACCCACGCCAGCCTTCTCTTTTCCCAAAGGGCAGAAATCAGACACTCTCTGACCCCAGGCTTATGTGTGTAATATTGGAAAAGGCATGCCACCAGGACCAAGATTATGGACCATGAAGCAAAATCCTGTCTCACCTTGAAAATTTTCAATATCTCCTGTGGCATAATGCAGAGTTACTTAAGTTTGGCACTACTGACATTTGTGCTGGATAATTCTCTGCTATGAGAGACTGTCCTGCCCGCTGTGGGGTGTTTGGCTGCATCTGTGACCTCCACCCCCTGGATGCTTGTAGCCTCTCCTCTGCCCCCAGCTGTGACAACTCAAAGTATCTTCAGACACTGCTAAGTGTTCCCTGGGTCCGGGGTTGGGGCAGAATCACCCTCAGCTGAGAACTCTTTGCATACTAGTTAAAGGCCTGGGCTTGGGAATAAGGCAGGCCTGATAACATGTGACTGTCATTTGTCAGCTGTGTGGCTTTGGGATCGTTAATGGATCTTTTAGGGCTCAGTAACTCCATCTGTAAAACAGGGATACGATTACCTCCTTTATATGTTCGTTCTAAGGGTTGAGAGAAACAGTACCATCACTGACTCTAAGTTCATGTGTCCGACGCACAGCGAGGCCAAGCAGACTGAAAGAACAGAGTTTGGAGCCAAAAAACATTTACTGATGGAGAGGGGACTGACCGAGAAGATGGGAGGTGTAAGTTTGTCTCAGATCCATCTTACTGGCAGGAGGCTTTTAAAGGCAACATTTGGGGCGAGAGTTATGGGGGATGGGCACATGACTTTCTTCTGATTGGTTGGTGGTGAGGTAGCAGGTGATGTTTCAGGAATGTTCATCATCAGCCTTCTGGTTCCAGCAAGTCTGGGGTCTCCGTGTGTGTGCTTAGCATATAGTCACCATGGTCTACCTGGTGGGGATCTTCATTCCTGCAGAATAACTCAAAGTCAGGTTGTTCTGTGTAGTTCCCGGAGGAGGAACTGGAACTCTCTTTTATTGCTCAACTATTGTTTCTTGACTGCTTTTCCTTTATTTACGTATTCCCTCACTTCCCTGTTAGTAACTGCTTGAGTTACTTTGAAACTCAGGGAAGGTTTTTTTTTTTTAATAGATGATATGTAGAAGATATTTTTCTACAGATGATAAATGAGGGACAAGAAAAGACTTTTGTGCCCAGGAGAGCCCAGAAGGGTCCTACTTGGTTTCAGTATGTGTAATAGCACAGTGCCTGCTAAGGCTCTGCCTTTTTTTTTTTTTTTTGCCATTTTGTGCGGCTTGCGAGATCTTAGTTCCCTGACCGGGGGTTGAACCTGCTCCCCCTTGAGCAGAAGCATGAAATCTTAGTCACTGGACCACCAGGGAAGTCCCAAAGCTCTGGCTTTCTTGCCTGTCTTTCCTCCCTAGGTTCCTAGTGTCTTCTTCCCCACCAACTTCTGCTGGCCCTGCTTTTAGATTGCATATATATATGTATTAATATATATGATATAAAAATACTTGGAGAGATATACACTAAAACAGTAACTACAATCATATCTGGAGGGATGGATTACTGGGGAGACAAAGAAACTCTTACTGTATACATCTGTAATTTGAGAAATGATGTTATAAATGAATATATGCATATGTGCTTGCTAAGTCACTTTAGTCCTGTCTGACTCTTCAGCGCTATAGACTGTAACCTGGCCAGGCTTCTCTGTCCATAGGTTTCTCCTGACAAGAACCCTGGAGTGGGTTCCCATGCCCTCCTCCAGGGGATCTTCCCAACCCAGGGATCAAACCCGCGTCTCTTATGTCTCCTGCTTCCCAGGTGTCTCTAGTGGTAAAAAATCCTCCTGCCTGTCAAATGAATATATGTATTGACTCAGAAACATTTTGAAGTGAAAAATATAGTTTGCAAAATAATATGAAACCTTTTTAATAAAGAAATTCATGTATGCAGAGAAAATAATCTAAACTGTAGAAGAAGGTAAATGCAAGAGTCAATAACAATTACTTTTAGGCAGTAAGATTGTGGATGTTTTCAAATGTTCTTTTAGCTTACCTGTATGCTTCAATTTTGCTGCGACAAACATAGATTGCCTTGAATAAGAAAACGAAAACACACACACATTAGGAAATAAAGTTAGAAGTTAGCTACAGAGCAAATCATCCTTGTTTAGGAAGCAAACTCAGCTTTTTCCTTCAGTGTAGGAAAAAAAACCCCAGTTCTTCCCTACTAGGTCTTTCTTCTCTATGTGTCTCCCTTACCTTCACAGAGAACGCTTCACTTTTGACTCTTCTGGTTACCAAATGCATGGAGATTTTCCCCTACACCAAGCAATTCTCTGTGACACCAACTGGTTGTCCTGCAAGTCAACTCCATTCTGACACTGTCTACTTGGAGATAGCTTCAGATCCCGCTGGGTAAGGGTTCAGTCCTGCAGGACTGCTTCCTCCCTTTCCCCACCACTTCAGATGCCATTTGCAAAAGCCCAGGTTGTTATCTGTGTTATGCCCGATGTCCGAATCCCCGAGCGGGAAGAGAGAAGGCTTCCAAGACAATGCAACTCGCATAAGAGGGAAGTTTATTGCTGACTCGAGTCAGGGCTCCTGCCGCACGTCCAGCGCAGTGGTACGGGGTCAGAGAGCGCTGAGCCCAAGCTGTTGGCCAATTTATAAGGTGTGCATAAGCAGTTAGTAGCTGGCTTAAGCGGATTGGTTACATGTGTGCAAAGTAATCTTATTGGCCCAAAACCTTCGCGGGCTTTTTTCAAACTTGCGCGTTCGCAGGGCTTTTCCACTTTCCCCTGATAGATTCCCTTTTTCTTACTAGGCGCATGTTGATTGGCTGGCTCCAGGTGGCCTGATAATCATGTTACCCTGGCAAACCAGGCCTACTCCTAATCTAGGCTGCCTGTCATGGTGCAGCCTCACAATCTGTACTTCTGACCAAATAGCTATAAATTAGAGGTTCCCATGACTGCCCTCTTTGGGTTTAATTAGTTTGCTAGAGTGAAGCATAGATCCTAGGAAACCGGTTTCCTCACTAGATTTGTTGTTGTTGTTCAGTCGCTAAGTCATGTCTGACTCTTTTGTGACCCCATGGACCATAGCCCACCAGCCTCCTCTGCCCATGGGATTCTCCAGGCTAGAATATTAAAGTGGGTTGCCATTTCCTTTTCCGGGTGATCTTCTTGGACCAGGGATCAAACCCGTGTCTCCCACATTGGCAGGCAGATTCTTTACTACTGAGCCACCAGGGAAGCCCTACTCACTAGATTACTGGTTTATTATAAAAAGATTTATCAGGAACCGCTAGATGGAAGAGATGCGGCGGGCAAGGTATGGATAAGAGAGTCCCCATGCTTTCTGTCAGCCCACCCGCTCTTTCCAAGTCTTCCTGTTCGCCAGCCTGGAAGCTCTCCAAACCTTGTCCTTTCAGTTTTTATGGAGGCTTCATTACATAGGCACTGCTGATTAAATCATGGCCATTGGCAGTTGAATTCAATCTCCATCCCCTCTCCTCTCCCTGAAGTTGAGTGGGGGGGGGCACTGAAAATTCCTACCCTTTCATTGCTTCATTGGTCTTCCTGGTGACCAGCCCCCACCTCCCCCCAATCATTAAGTTACCTACTGAAAATTGCAAGTGTTAGTCGCTCGTTCGCATCTGACACTTTGTGACCCCATGGACCCTAGCCTGCCAGGCTCCTCTGTCCACGGGATTCTCCAGGCAAGAATACTGGAGTGGGGGAGCCATGACCACCTCCAGGGGCTCTTCCCAACCCAGGTCTCCTGCATTGCAGGTGGATTCTTTGCTATTCTGAGCCACCAAGGAAGTTACCTAAGGGCATTCCAAAAGTTGCCTCATTAATATAACAAAAGACACCTTAAGTGCTCCAATCAGAGGTAATGCCAAAAGTTTTAGGAGTGTAAGGTGATCTCTCATTGTAGTTTTGATTTGTGTTTATCTAATAACTAACAATGTTAAACATCTTTTCATGTGCCTGTTGGCCATCTGTATTCTTTGGAGAAATGTCTATTCAGGTCTTCTGCCTATTTTTTTTGAGTGGGCTGTTTGTTTTGATGCTGTTAAGAGTCATAAGTTATTTATAAATTTTGGAGACTACTCCCTTATCAGTCACATCATTTGCAAATATTTTCTCCTAATCTTTGGGTAGTCTTTTCAGTTTGTTTATTGACTGAACTGACTCACTACTCTTGCACTTTTGTCTAAAATCAGCTGACTTATGTAAGCAAGTCTGTTTCTGGATTTTCTATTCTTTTCCATTGAGTTAAATATCTACTTTTCCCCTTCAATATCATTCGCCTTGACTTTTATCTTTAAAATAGTAGATCTTGAATTCAGATAGTTATCAGTCCTACTGTCCCTTTTCTTTGTAAGGTATAGTTCGGGCCGAGGCAGAAAAGGCAGAAAAGGAAAGACGACCTCAGCAGAAGTAGGTTACCTTTATTCAGGCAAGGAGGGGTGACAGTCGGCCTAAGGACCACGCTGATCGCCGAGAGGGATCAGGGAGGCTCCATACTTACAGGGAGGTTTGTGGAAGTGATAAGGGAAATGTTAATCAGGCGGGATGTTTTGGGTATTCTTTAGTTGAGATGGCATTTGTAGTTGGGCAGGGGGTGATAAGTCTTCTGGGCAGGTGTAGGGGGTGGAAGGTTTCTGGACAGGGGGTGATAAGTCTCAGATACATGCAATGGCCTGGAGCATCAGGGCAGGACCTAAAGTTCTGTTTTGTTTTCTCCGAAGTTAGATGATTCAGCAAGGGCCTTTGAGACTGTTGTTTTCATTTCTAGGCCCAAAGACTCCTTCAAGATTGACTTTACTTTTCTGAACCACTTTTCCGAGTCAGACCCACCTGGGCCGTCCTCCTAGGAGCTGAGTGACGGTGCATCTCTGAGCGTTTGTTGTTGGCGTCGTTCAGTCGTTCAGTCGTCTCTGACTGTGATCCCATGGGCTATAGCCCGCCAGCCCCCTCTCTCCATGGGATTTCCCAGGCCTGAACACTGGAGTGCTACTTTGTTCTTATTTTTCAATATTATTTTGGCTATTCTAATGCTGTTGTAATTGCATGTGATTTTAAAAATCAGCTTATCTGCTTGTACAAAACTTTCTGATGATTTTTTTTATTGGATTGTGTTGAATCTATATATCAGTTTGGGAAAGACTTGACATCTTAACAATACTGAATCTTCCAATCTATTTACCTGGTATGTTAAAAAAATATATATATCTATTTATTCAGGTACTTTAAAATTTCTTTTATCATTATTATATATTTAATATTTTCAGCATATAACATATCCTTAATAAGATTTATCTCTGAGTATTGCATGTTTTTTCTGCTATTGTGAGTGACTTTTTACACAATTAAAATTTTAATAGTTCACTGTGAATATATAAAATATAATAGATATTTTTACATTGACTTTGTATCATGCAGCCTTGCTAAATTCACTTATTAGTTCTATTAGGTTTTTTTCAGTATGTATGTGACAAATTCTTGGGGTTATTTATGTATACAACAACTTTGTCATCTGTGAAAAAAGAATTTTATTTCTTCCTTTCCAACTGTATTCCTGTTATTTATTTTTCTTATTATATCTCCTAGGGTCTTCTGTAAAATGTTAAATAGGATTGGTAAGAGTGGAATTCTTGCCTTGTTCCCTATCTAAAGCACTCTGCCTTTCTCCACTAAGAACATTAACGGTCAGGTTAAAAAAGTTCCTTTATATTTCCAGTTTGCTGAGAGTTTGTATCATGAGAGGTTTTTGAATTTTATTAAAGGCTTTTTCTGCTTCTGTTGAATCAGAAGTATAGTTTTTCTTGAGCCTGTTGATGTGGTGAATTATATTGATTTTCATGTGTTTAATCAGCTTTGCATCAAGAGATAAATTCCAATTGGTCATGATGTATTTTCCTTTTGATTTATTGTTGATTTTATTTACTAAGATCTTAGTGAATGAGGATTTACTTAGGAATGAGGATTTTTTTTCGTCAGTGCTCAAGAGGGATATTACTCTGTAGCTTTCTTTTCTCCCAGTGTCTTTGTCAGGGTATCAGTGTAGTGTTGTACTCATAGAGTGATTTGAGAAATGTTCCTTCCTCTTCATTTTCTGGAAAGCTTTATGTAGAATGATATTATTTTTTCTTTAAATGTTTACTAGAATTCACCTTGGAAGCTGTCTAATTTTCTTTGGGGGAAAGTTTTAAGCTGCCAATTGATTTCTTTACTAGGAATAGTGCCATCCAGGATATCTCCCAGGCTTGCTTAGTTTCTGACAGGAAGTTTGCTATAATTCTCATTTTCTCTATGTAATGTGTGATTTCCCTCTAGCTCCCTTTGTTTATTTATTTTTAAATTTGGCTACTATGATACAATTAAAATTGAAATATAATTGATTTATAATATTGTCTTAATTTCAGGTATATAGCATAGTGATTTAGTTTTTTTTTTTGTTTTTTTGCTGATTATATTTCATTAAGAGAGTTCCAGAAAAACATCTACTTCTGCTTTATTGACTATGCCAAAGCCTTTGACTGTGTGGATCACAACAAACTGTGGAAAATTCTTAAAGAGATGGGAATACCAGACCACCTTACCTGCCTCCTGAGAAATGTATATGCCTCCTGAGAAATCTGTATGCAAGGAGATCAAACTGTTCAGTCCTAAAGGAAATCAGTCCTGAATATTCATTGGAAGGACTGATGCTGAAGTTGAAACTCTAATACTTTAGCCACCTGACTAAAGAACTGATTCATTGAAAAAGACCCTGATGCTGGGAAAGATTGAAGGCAGGAGGAGAAGGGGACAACAGAGGATGAGATGGTTGGATGGTATCACTGACTCGATGGACATGGGTTTGAGCAAGCTCTGGGAGTTGGTGATGGACAGGGAGGCCTGGCATGCTGCAGTCCATGGGGTCACAAAGAGTCAGACATGAACTGAGTGACTGAACTGAACTGATATTCCATTATAGGTTATTACAGGGTATTGAGTATAATTTCCTCTGCTGTACAGTAAATCCTGGTTGCTTATCTATTTTATGTTTAGTAGTTTGAATCTGTTAATCCCATACACCTCATTTGTCTATCCCATTGCCCCCTCCTTGGTAACTATAAATTTGTTTTCTCTGAGTCTGTTGCTGTTTTGTATATAGATTCATTCACTTTTCAGATTCTACATGTAAGTGATATCATATAGTATTTTTTTCTCTGATATATTTAACTAAACATAATATTCTCTAGGTCTATCCACATTGCTGCAAATGGCAATATTCCAGTTTTTTAAGTGTCTGAGTAATATTTCATTGTATATTAGCTGCCTTTTAATATTTTCTTTGTATCTTTCATTTCAGGAAGTTTGGACATGGTATACATAGGTATGCTTTGTTTAGTACTTATCCTGCTAAACCACAGGTGTTGGTCATTAGTTTTGGAATATTTATCACTATTATTTCTTTGAACATTTTTCCTCCTCATTTCTTTCTGTCTTCTGGAAAAGAAATGGAATCTTTTTCTGGGATTCATGTGTATGAGACCATTTGACATAGTCCCACAGCTCTTGGATTCCCTGGTCTTATTTTTTTCTTTGTGTTTCAGTTTGAGTAATTTCTGTTAACCTATTGATACATTCAAATTCACTGACTTTTTCCTTCAGTTATGTCAATTTAGTGATTAGTTGGTTGAAAGCACTCTTTATCTCTGTTACAGTGATATTCACTTCTAGCATTTCCTTTTTTTTTTTTTTTTGCTGAAATCATTCATCTGATCTTGCATGCTATTCACCTTTTCATGATGCACCCCACCCCTTTCATTGGTTATGGTCTGCAGCTTGTGAGGTCTTAGTTCCCTGACCAGGGATTGAACCTGGGCTCCCAGCAGTGGAAGTATGGAGTCCTAACTACTGGACTACCAGGGAATTCCCTCTGTGATAGCCTTTAACATAATAATCATAATTATTTAGAATTCCCTGTAAGCTTCCACACCTGTGCCATATATAAGTCTGATTCTGTTGCTTACTTTGTCTTGACAGTTTAAAAATTATTTTTGGTTTGTCGTTTTTTGTATGCCTGGTAGTTTTTGATTGAAACCCAGACCTTTCTTTTTTAAGACTATAGAAATTTAAGTCAATAGTTTTTATCTTTGGAAATTGGCATGCCTTTCTTTTTGCTAGACCTTTTTAGTGTAGTGGTTGATTCAGTTGAGTCAGGAGTTAAGTGAGGTTTGGGATTTATTTTTTCTGTGGTTACTCTCTGTCTTAGTTTGCTAGGGCTGCCATAAAAAAAAGTACCACAAACTGAATGACTTGAAAAACAGAAATTTTTATCTCATAGTTGTGGAGGTTAGAAACCCTAAATCAAAATGTCCTCAGAGTTGGTTTCTTCAGAGGTGGCTGTCTTCTCTATGTTTCTCTTCACATCATCTTCTATGTGTGCCTGTCTCTATAGCCATCCTTCCCCTATTATAAGGAAATCAACCCTATTGATTTAGGGCTCACCTAAAGGACCTCATTTTAACTTGACTGTGTGAAGAACTTATCTCCAAATAGGGTAATATTCTGAGGTACTAGGGCTCAGGATCCTAACATAGCTTTTTTGTCAGGAAGCAGTTTAACCTATAGCATCGTCTTTGTACCACAGACTTCAGATTCTTCTAGATTTTCTTTGTGTTTAAGGTAAAAGGAACTAACTTGCCAGAGGGTTTTTCTTCATATGTGCTCCACCATAGGCATTAGGTCTTCACTGTCTCCCCCTGTCTGGCAATAGACTGCTATTATTACTATTTTTAATTTGGAGTATGAGTGCTTTACAATGTTGTATTAGTTTTGTTACAGTGCATTGAGTCGACTCTATGTATACATATATCCCCTCCCTCTTTTTAAAAAATTTATTTATTTTTTAATTGAAGGATAATTGCTTTACAGAATGTTGTTGTTTTCTGCCAAATAGTAACACTGAATCAGCCATAGGTATACACATCTCCTCCCTCTTAAGCCTCCCTCCCACCCCTCTAGGTCATCAGAGCATCCAGCCGAGCTCCCAGCCCTAGACAGCAGCTTCCCACCAGCTATCTGTTTTACACATGGCAGTGTACCTATCTTAGTGCTTCTCTCCCAATTAGCCTCACCTTTCCTTTCCCCCTCTGTGTCCACATGTCTGTTCTGTACCTCTGCACCTCTGTTCCTGCCCTGGAAATAGATGCATCTGTATCATTTTTCTAGATTCCACATACATGTGTTAATACACAATATTTGTTTTTCTTTCTGACTTTAGTTCGTCAGGGCAGAGGAGGGGTCATATCTTCTGTTTTGATTAAGCCTTAGAATCAGATAGGCACTGTGTCCTATCTGGGTGTTGAGGATGAAGTCTTCTATGGATTCTGCTTCCTTCCCACTTAGCTAGAGGAGGTGTCAATGGCCCATGTCTGCTCTTTTCCCCAGGGATAGACATTGTTTTCTGTTCCTTTCCTCAGCTGTGATGGATTTGCACTTGTGCCCTAAACATGATAAGCCCTAACTCCATTCCTAGCCCGCCCTTAAAAAAATTCAAACTCTTTTTTCTTTCAGGAGATGTAAAGGTCCTGCTTGAATCTCCAGATAGCACAGCTGTTGGTAGGGCAGGTTGTTGGTCAGTTGTACTAAATAGCCTCTCTCGAATATTCCAAGTACTCCTCAATGCAAGAAAACCGAACTCCTCAGCTACCGAACTCACACCTTCCAATGCACACTGGCATGCAAACACTTGCAGAAGAAGGCACAGTTCACCCACTTGTCCAAGGTAGAAACAGGAGATATTCTCAATTTATGCCTTATTTCCACATTCAGTTGATCTTATTCAGTTAGTCCTTTTAAGAATTTTACTAATATATCATCTCTTACATCGGCTTCCTCTTTTTCAAAAAATGTTTGGCTTGCGCAGGGCACGCAGGGATCTTAAGTTCCCCAACCAGGGATCGAACAGCTCCCCCTGCAGTGGGAGTGTGAAGTCTTAACCACTGGATCCCCAGTGAAACCCTCTCCTCCCTCTTCTTTACCCCTTCTGGTATCATCTTCAGACATTCAGTCTCTCACCTAAATCCCTGCCATGGTCACCTAACTGACCCTCAATTTCCAATCCATACCCCGTTCATCCATTTTCAAAGAGCAGCGTCTGACAAATAGTGAAAAAAAAAAAAAAGCGCTGCTTGCTTAGTTGTGTCTGACTCTTTTTCAACCGCCTGGACTGTTGTCCACTAGGTTCCTCTGTCTGTGGAATTCTCCAGGCAAGAATACTGGAGTGGGTAGCCTTTCCCTTCTCCAACTTCCTGACCCAGGGATGGAGCCTGGGCCTCCTGCATTGCAGGCAAATTCTTTACCATCAGAGCACCAGGGAAGTCCCCTGAAAAACAGTGGTTATTGTTAAAAGTTGAAAAAAAGAAAAGGAACTTTGATGTATTGGTTCGATTGCCTCAAGTTACCCTGATCTTAGTGTCCGAGATGACTGTGTTTTCCATTTGGCCTCCTCTAGATCTTTTCAGTGCTAGGATGGTAGTAGTATCTATATTCTCTACTGAGTAAGAAAAATTATTTAACACTGTTAAATGAATTGTTTTGGTAATTAAAATTTCATATAGAGCTTAAAATTGTGTGCAAGATATTATTCATTCAATCTGTAGACTTCATTTCATGAATAGAAATACACATACTCTGTGTAATGTCAAGATAGCTGTCTCCATGAGCTTGTGGTCTAAATGATAGAAATCACTGTCCCCTCTATGATAAAGTTAAATACAGCCTTCCACTGGTAAATTCTGAAGTGTAAATAAATCTTCCTTCTACAGTGCCCTGGTAATTGCACTCAATGTTAAGCAGATCCCCATCCATATGAGTTAATTACTTAATTGGTCTAAAGCTTTCTTTCTAGCATATTCTTCCAATCAATATTCTAAATTTAGGGACTCCCCTGGTGGTCCAGTGGTTAAGAATCCAACTTCCAATGCAGGGGATGCAAATTTGATCCCTGGTCAGGAGCCTAAGATCCCACGTGCTGCGGGGCAACTAAGACCCAAAGCAGTCACATAAATATTAAAAAATACTGTGAAATCTCATCCTACTGCGTACTCTCATTTTAGGATGTATGTGTCTTGCCTGACAAGGTGCTTTTGCTGGTGCTGTTTCTGCTGCTAGTCAGGCATTCTTTCTTTCACGTTTTTGTCTATTGAAATTGTACCCACCTTTCAGTTCAACTTCATCCATAAAATTCTCCCAAGATCCTTTTGAAGAGGCATTTAATATTAACTTCCCTGTTAGACCATAGCGATCTCCAGATCATAAATCATATTTTAATTACCTTCGTGTCCTTTTTCAGTTCTTAACACATCAATTAGCTTATAGTAGGTGCTTAGAATATTTGATCAATGGATGAAAATCGTGGCTAGCACTTACAGTTAACTTACAAAATGAAGGTTACTAGGGAGGCATGGAGTCGGGGTGGCCAAAGATGAGTTGAGATGTGGTCTCTAGTGTTATGTACTCCTCTGTGTTGTTGCATATTCCTACAAATCAAGCAAAAATAATTTTTGTTTTGAAATACATTATAAATAATGTCAACCCTGTATCATTCCCTGAGTGCATGCATGGGATGAAGGAGGGAGACAGGTAGATTGTGAAATTTTGCAAGGTGACTAAGAGGAACAATGCTTATTTATTTATTTAATTTAATATTGACTTTTATTTTTTCGATGAAAACTTTTTCGTTGTTTTGACCGTTGTTTTTTCAATGAAAACTTTTTTTATATGTTTTCATATAAAGCATACTCTTTCAGCTATAATGAGCTGTACAGTTGATGGGCACTAAGTACCTTCACAGTATCGTTCAACTCGTATTGTTATCCATCTCCTGAATTTACCTTCCTAAACTGAATTCTGTCCTCATTAAATAAGTTGTCCCCCCCCCCCCACTGATTCTATGAATTAGACTATTCTAGGTACCTTGTATAAGTGGAATCAATCAGGATAACAGTGCTCATTTAGATGTAAGTTTTGGTCTGTTTGTTGCATTTCTGGGGTGACCCGGCAAGACTTTAAATATTTGCATGCTGTGTTATGTGGTTGTGGGCAGTATTTACATATACAGTGAATTTCTAGTACTTCAGATAAGAATGCTTGAATATGGTCTCAGGACAAAGCAGAGTTAAGCTGAGTACTGTGTCTGAAGCACAGTTAAGGCTCAATAAATATTTATTAGGGAGGAAGAAGGAAGACAGAAAACAAGCCAAGCCAACCAGCATACTTCTGAATAAACAGAAGCTAGCTACTACATAAGAACAAGACCCGAATGGAGTCAACAGATAATGAAACCATGAGGCAAATGAGATAGTACTCTTATAATTATTATTTTATTAACAATACTGTTGCAACTTAATTTCTTTTTCTCCTTGCACCAGGCACCTCTCATATGTTAACACATTTGTTATTTAGAAGAGCCCTTAATTATAGTTACTGTTAATAATTACTTTGTGGATGAAGAAGTTAAGATTCAGAGAGAGCAGTTTGCCGAATCACACACAGCTAGGAACTGTGGTACCCTGTGCCCTACAGAACATTCAGGGTGTTCTCTAAACCATTCAGGGTGAGACTCTGCCTAGGTGACCTAGATGCCCGACATCCCCAGGCCACACCCCCTCAACTCATCTTTTTCAGCTCTGCTGAGGTGGGAAGTTCCTTGTCCCATCCCCATCCTTCCTCAGGCATGTGTGCCCTTATCTCTTTCTGGTTTTCTGTCCCAGGAGGTTTTCTAAAACCATGGAAGGACAGTCAGGTTCTTATCTGCTCAGCCCCAAGACGCAAGGGAGCAGTCCTTCGCCAATGGGAAGTGAGAGTTGGTTGACAAATGCACCCTATTCCTGTCCTTCTGAAGGACAACCCTGAAGTGCTTTCCACATGGGTTCTTGGAGCGTGGTATCACGGAGCTCTATTTGACCCACCAGCAAATAGCTTAGTAACCCATTTTTCATGCTCCTCCTTCCCTGTTTTATTTCCACTCTTCCACACTCCTGCTTCCTGCCATCATCTGTACTCAAAACATCATCTGCACTTGTTTCAGGCAAATCCAGTCTAGATACGAGTTAATCAGGCGCGTATGTCACATCGAGGTCCTACTCCTTAGGGTGCCTTAAAGGACCACCAGGGAACTGAATCAGTGAAGCCACCATTGTCTTTGCTTGAGAATCATACCTTGTATGACAGACAGAGAAAGATGTGTTTTTATTACATTTTTTTTTTTTTTAGCCACAGCATGCAGGATCCTAGTTCCCTGACCAGGAATGAAACCCAGGCCCCCTGCAATGGAAGCACGGAATCTTAACCAGGGAAGATTTTGCTAAAACACCAGGGAAGTCCCAGAAAGATGTGTTTTTAAAAAGCCCACCTTTCGATGTTCGGGTAGTTAATGTCACATGGAGCTTTCTCATTTCCTATCTATGTCCCTGTGATGGGGATGCATGATACTGATCTCAAGGAAGTGGTTCTTATTTCTAGGAAGTGGAGCTTACATTCTCAAGGGGAGACAGACTGTGCAACAGTTATAAGAAGGCATGGCAAAGACTGAGATGAGAGAAATAAGTCAGGGGAGCTCCCACCCTTGAGGCCCAGAGCAGGTTTCCCAGAATGAGATTGGGTATTTCCAGGCAGAGGTCTGAAAGCCGGGAAGGGTTTGAGGAGGATCTGGGGAGGCCGGGCCAGCTCATGGAGCTCCAGGGCAGGAGGGTGCGCTGAGATGTGAGCAGGGGTAGGTGGCGTGTAGAGCTAAAGATAAGCTGGTGTCCTGGCCGCAGGGACCTTGACTTGCTACAGGGCTTCGTTCCAAGGGTAGTCGGGCATTCGGTATTTGGGTTTGTTTCCTTTATAATGACCACTGCAGTATGTGATATCACTTATATGTGGAATCTAAAAAATACAGCGGATGAGTGAATGTAACATAAAGGAAGCAGACTCACAGATACGGAGAAGAAACTAGTAGGTTACCAGTGGGGAGAGGGGAGAGGGGAGAGGGGAAGGCTGATAAAGGGGTAGGGGATGGAGAGGTGCAAACTATTAGGTATAAAATAAGATGCAAGGATATATTGTACAACATGGGGAATATAGCCAATATTTTGTAATAACTATAAATGGAGTAAATTGGAGTATATAAATGGATTATATTTAAAAATGGCTAATTATTATATTGTATACCTATGACATATCACATTGTATAGCAACTATAATTCAACTAACTAACTAAATAAAAGCTTAACAAAAGAAAACAAAAAATTTAAGAGGAAATAAGGGCGGCTTCGTGTCCTGCAACCGGGATTTAAATTGATTTTGGATCGCTTCGCGGGTCATACCCACCAGGGAACACAAGGGGGCAGCCTCACACCGGGTTCTCAGGAAAGGCTGCCTGTGTTCGTGGCAGCTGTTCGCGTTCCCCCGCTTTCTGTGCACACTAAGTAAAATTCCATAGTTTGGTGTGGAAGCGGATTGATGTTTTTCTGTTTCTTTACGAAGGACTCAAGTTAGGGACCAGGGTTCGCTCGGCGGCACATCACAGGAAGTGCACCGTCTTCGCATCTCACTTCCGAGGGTCTTTTGATTGCCGGGAAGAGGCACCCACTCCAAACACAATGCTTCCAAGGACGCTGAGTCGCCGCCCTCTTGATTGCGGGGAAGAGGCACTCACTCCAAACACAATGCGTCCAAGGGTGCTGAGAGTCGCCGCCCTCCCTCTGTTGTCTTCAAGTGTCGTCACAGAACTGCTGTGCGCGAGAAAAAAAAGCCCAGAGCTCTCCTGGAAAGGAGTGGAGTGGATTGCTCCTTTGGGGAAAATTCTCCCTTTGCTTGCGTGACCTCATCCAGGCCCAAGACTTTAAGTGATATCTTTTCCTTAGTAGCTCAGTTGATGAAGAATCCGCCTGCAGTGCTGGAGACTCAGGTTTGATCCTTGGATTGTGAAGATCCCCTGTAGAAGGAGATGGCAACCTGCTCCAGGATTCTTGCCTGGGAAATCCCAATGGACAGAGGAGCCTGGCAGGCTACAGTCACATGGGGTCTCAAAGAGTCCCACTCGGCTTAGCGCCGAAACCACAACCAAGGAAGGGAACTGTCCGTTGGATGGCTCAGTTCTCAACATCCTCCCAGGATCCCTGATTTGTATATTTCTATTCTGAATTATCTAGCTGGTATCACATAATGGTATCTAGTAGGCATCTCAACTTTGACCAAGAACAGCTATTGCTAACCCTCACGCTTGATTCTTTCCCGTGGCATTTTTTCCTCTTCTCAATGTCAGCCATCACAACTTATCTGATTGCTCAAACCTCAGACCCACCAGTGATTCTTCCCTCCTCTCTTTTCTCACCTCCTCCCACATCCAATCAGTTGATATATGAGTTCTGTTGACTCTCCATCTCCATGGACACCTTCACTCTCCTCTCTCACCTGGTTGCCTGTTACAACTTTCTTACCAGGCTTTCTTGCTGGACTCTGGACTCTACATATATGCCAGGATGATCTTTTAAGGAGAATTGAGATCACTCTTCTGCTTATATTTCCCAGGACTCCTAGGTGTCTCAGCGGCAAAGAATCCGCCTGCCAGTGCAGGAGATGCAGGAGGTGTGGGTTTGATCCCTGGGTCAGGAAGATCCTCTGGAGAAGGAAAAGGCAGCCCACTCCAGTATTCATGCCTGGAGAATCCTATGGACAGAGGAGCCTGGTGGGCAACAGTCCAGGGGGTCACAAAGAGTCAGACACTACTGAGCACATGCACAGAGTCTCTGCTTAAAACCCTCCAGTGGATTCTGTTGCACTTGTAATAAAATCGATATACCCTGTCATGGATGTGCAAAGTCCTGTGTTATCTGCTCATGGCCTGCTACCCACCCCTGCCTCATTGTATACTCCTCTCTTTCTCTTGGTTCTGGATGCCCTGGTCTTCTTGGTGTTGTTAAGCAGCCTTGGGCCTTGGCATGAGCTTTTCATTCCTGCTTGTATGCGTTCCTCTCTGGTCTCTACATAGGTGTCTCTTTGTGTCCTTCAGGTCTCAGCTGGAATGTGACTTCTCAGGGAGAGCGTCTCTGGTTCTTCTACATATAATGGTCACCCAGTCATTCTCCCGTCCCTCTGTTTTCATTCTCTGTAAGCACTGATACTAGATGCATTTCTTTCCTTCCTTCCTTACTGCGTGGTTTATGGGATCTTAGTTTCCCTACTAGGCCTTGGCAGTGGGTTGAACCCAGCCGAATCCTAACAACTGGACTTCCAGGGAATTCCCTAGATGCATTTTCTTGCTTATTTATTTGTCACTTTATTGTCTATCTTCCTTCACTAGAATGCTAGCTCCATGAGGGGTCGAATATATCTGCTTTGGACATTCAACCTCATCCCGGTGACTCAATAGGGCCTGACACGTGAAAGATGCTCAACAGATGTTTGTTGAATAAAGAAATGATTCAGTGGGTAGAACTTCCACACCTGACCCTGCTGAGGGTGGATTGCAGGGTTCTTTACTATTTATTACCTATGTGTTTGGTCTGAGGTGAGACATTTCCTCTCTCTGAGCATCAGTTCCCTCTTCCAGATAAATACTGTTTTGAAAGTGAAAGTGTTAGTCACTCAGTTGTATCTGGCTCTCTGTGACCACATGGACTGTAGCCCTCCAGACTCCTCTGTCCATGGGATTCTCCAGGCAAGAATACTGGAGTGGGTTGCCGTTCCGTTTTCCAGGGGATCTTCCCGACCCAGGATCGAACCCGGGTCTCTTGCGTTGCAGGCGGATTCTTTACCGTCTGAGCCACCAGGGCCTGTGATATGTTTATTCTAATCCACAAGTGTGCTTTTCACCTAGGAACTCCTGAATTGAAAACCCACTTGCTGTCTAAAAGTTTTGAACACCTTGAAGCTAGTGAGAAGCACCGAGACTTCATGATTCCTGTCCGTTCATTTTCATATAAAGAATCAACATTGAAGTTGCCAGGGTTTTTGAAGTCTCCTGTGATGCTGGTTCTGAGTCATGAGCCAGACCAAGCTTTTACCTTCTCAAGACGGTGGTTCTCTGAGTAGATGAGCTGGAGGTCAGACTGCCTTTTCTAGAAGGCTTTTGGTTAGTGATACTTGGTTTGAAATTCCGGACCTGCTATTTTAGAAACAATTTAGGAGCAGGGTGTCCATTCTGTCTTAGTGTATCTTAGATTTTATCCAAGTGAGGCAACAATTACAGACCCAGACTTTTTAGGATGCTAAAGTGCTATTCACAGCTAGCCAGGAAAGGTCACCAGATAAATACTTTGACATCTGCTAAGAAGGGAGATTAGTGAAAGCCTTGACTCTGTGTTCACCTAGATCGTGGGATGTGGGAGCATCTTTATTCCCTTTCAATTCCTTTGTTGCTCTGGGATTCTGATATGCTACTAAGCTTTAATTTCTTGAAAAGGCGTTTCATCAACCCTGTTGACTGTGTGCTGAGATTCCCTCCTCCCTCCCTCTCCTACATTTGGGTCAGCCGGTACCAAAGGAGAAGGTTATCTGGGCTGTTAAACCTTTGACTTGGTGTCTTTTGAAGAGCGCATTTTGCATTTTGTTATGTCAGGATTGTAATTAGATCCGTTAATTAAGGAAAGAATGAACTTTTCCCAAACTCTGCACCTCTTTGAATTTTTGATAAGTTTGCTTAGGTTGCCACTGACCTTTGCTAAGGGGTATGCTACTGCTCATTAATTGGCAAATTTTAATGAGGAGAGTTGATGAATGTGCTGGCCTTGACAATAAATAAAGCTGGCTTCCACTCTAGGCCTTACCACCTCGTGCTGCTTCAAAGTGTGTGGTGTTTCTTGACTAGTGACCATTAAACTTGGGACATTTGGCCGACATTCTGTCTTATGAGTAAGCAAGGGAGGCCTCTTTACCCAGGCACTGATCTGAACGGCTCCTCATCCACCTTCCTATTTCATTTTGGTTGTATTGTGGGCAGCGTGCTCAGTTTTGTTTGAATCTTTTGGACGCCATAGACTATAGCCTGCAAGGCTCCTCTGAACATGGGATTTCCCGGGCAAGAATACTGGAGTGGGTTGCCATTTCCTACTCCAGGGGATCTTCCCGACCCAGAGATTGAACCAGGGTCTCCTGCATTGCAGGCAGATTCACTGCACTCCCTGGAATTCCCTTTAATCTGATAATACTCTTATTATACCTGTTTTAGACAAGGGGAAACTGAGGCATAGGGAAAGTACTACATCACATAGGGATATGTAACCAGTTAATGGTAATCACTAATATTTGAGTTCTCATTGTGTGCTAAGCACACTCCCAACCTCTTAATGTGCGTTGTGTCACTTCATACTCATAACAGCTGTGTGAAATAGGTAGTATTTTTACCCCTACTGTAAAATGGGACTTGATTGCCAAAAGGGTTGATCTCCTGTAGGATTGACTGGTTGGATCTCCTTGCAGTCCAAAGGACTCTCAAGAGTCTACTCCAACACCACAGTCCAAAAGCATCAATTCTTTGGTGCTCAGCCTTACTTATGGTCCGACTCTCACGTCTGTATGTGACAGCTGGAAAAGCTGTAGCTTTGACTATACAGACCTTTGTTGGCAAAGTGATGTCTCTGCTTTTTAATATGTTGTCTAGGTTTGTCATAGCTTTCCTTCCCAAGGAGAAGCATCTTTTAATTTCATGGCTACAGTCATCATTTAGAGTACAAAGAAGAATAAAATTCAGATTCACACACACACGTATGAAGATTTCTTTCCTTTTCAAATATGTTTCTGCTGCCATTCAAAAAACCGAGTGAGCTGTGACCCTGCAGAACATAATGAGGGCTGCAATATTTAACTTATAGAACTGATCGACGAGGGGACTTCCCTGGTGGTCCAGTGGTTAAGACTCTGTACTTCCACTGCAGAGGGCCCAGGTTCAAACCTTGGCTGGGGAACTAAGATTACACATGCCATAAGGCATAGCCAAAAAAGAAAAAGGACCCGAGTGATGAGAAATGTACTTAGTTATCCAAGTCCCAGACATGAATTTTGGCTTTATAGCTGTACTCACTATGACTCCTTAGATTACAGTGAGCAAGAGGGTATCTTCTGTTTGGCAGTATTGATAGGAAAATGAAACAAGCCTGGCAGAAGTCGTAAGTAACTCTTCAGAGCCTCTTTTAAAGATTCTGCACAATACTAGTACTTTTAGTAATTATAAAATGTGGCGCTGACATCTCTGTGCCCCTTACTGAAACACTTACAATCCTTCTACTAATCTACAATGATAATAACCCTAAAAAACGATTACTAAATACTCAACAGTTTAAAATACTCATCAGCACTCACAGTTGCCACAAACATTCCCCACTTTTTTTTTTGCTGAAAATATCCTCTCTAGCAAAATGTCACTACATTTAGAATTTCTGTTTCTAAACATTGCCCTAAGTGACTTCTGAGAAATTTTTTACAGACCGTTGATGACGATAATTTGACGTCATTGAGTAGTTGGTTCATTTGGGGAAATGCTATTCACATTTCATCCTCATCATGTTCTTATTATTCCTGTTTTCTAGAGGAGAAACACTGAGGCAGAGAGAATGTTGGTGTCTTGTGCTGGGTATTACGTAGCGAACACTTTGTTAAGGATGTTTAATGATGAATCTCACAATATACTTGTGTATTTGAATATATGCCCCCTGTAATCTACTAATATGGTGA